CATAACAATATTAAAAACATATGCGTATTAAAATACTCCCATACGCATTATCAATAGTATTATAAGATTATACAGCTTCTGCTGAATATTCAGACAGTATTACATAACAACGTGCGGGACACTAAGTAGCAGGAATAATGTAGCAAGTGCCTAGGTTGGGGGGGGGGCTCATTTCTGACAACTGTTAATAGAATGTTAATGAAAATAAGAACTATTTCATGTTAACCCACATAATATTCACGAATTGCAGTAAAGTAGAATATTGACCAAGTGACGGAAGAATATAATAAGAAACAATTTTCTTCAAAATTCTCAAAATTTTCTAATGCATGTAGTTCAAGCATCAATCTGAACCAATAGATTTGTTGTTCAGCTACCAGGTAGACGGCTTTCTCATCCCAAGCATTTCAAATTTGTGGGTTTTTGGCTAATATCCACAGTAAAGTTTTATAAATTCAATTCATATTCTCCAAGCCAAGCGTTATGTAATATACTAAGCTTAAATTCAGAGAATCAGAACGTTAAATCAGCTTAAATTAAGGTAAACAGATCATCAGTCTAACAAAAAACAATACACTTACAACTTTGAAACACGCAAAATAATATGCTGATTCAAAGGAAAATGGGAAAATGTTATATTTTCCGATGGAACAAAGTATCATTTGTATGGTTCGGATGACTTTGCGAATTAATGGCTCTATGTTGCAGTGAAAAACTGTTTAAAGGGCTCGTTTTTAGAGGAGAAAGACAATTTATCAGGAAAGAATAATATCCATTTTATTCACAAGGAATAGTATTAATACTGAGATACATCAAGGTATTCTAGTAGAAGATCCGACGCAAAATGCGTTCCTGATTACACAAGAAGAACGGAATTTGTAACAAGATAACGGCAGTATATACAGTGCTCATAAAACAAAATTGTAGTATGAAATGAATGACGTTATAATACAAGAATAAATCTCCAGTTGCACGAATTTCATTCTGATGAGAAACCTTCTACTAGGATATTTCGATTTATCTCAGCATTAATATTACTGCCAGAGAATAGAGTGCATAATACTCCATTTCAATGAAAACGCTTTTCACAAAATTAACCTAACCACGTTTTTATGGATTGCATTCAGTAATAGGGATATAAATGTTATAAAAGGTCTTTAAAATAAGGTTTGTAGATAGACTTTCGTAAATCCAAATGCAGCAAAATAAATTCGTGAAGCTGTGAAACAGTCGCAGAAATAATTAAATGCTGTTTTTAATTAAGTTCCCCAGTGATGGTAAGATTAAAAAAAGTGTCGCTTAGAAAAAAATGTTTTAGTTTGCAATTAAATGTAAATTCGCTTAAAAATACGTTCGGCCTTATATATTTATCTCCACGTTACTGTCTAAAAAATTTGAGAGTGATTAAATTTCATATTATTTATTTTCAGGTCACATTAAAACTGTACGATTTTCTAATTTATATTACCAATAAAATTTGGTATTAATTTGCAAATTCTGTTTGGTCATAGGCTCACAGGCTCATTCTTAAAATTATTAAGTTTTAAACTTTTTTTCCTATAACCATATTTACGGTTATATTAAATTATTTTTTGTGATGATCCGTGCAATATATCGAAGTTAGAAAATAAATTTATTTTATACTAATTTATTGTCATTTTCCTATTAATGTAAAAAAGTTTTAATATATTTTTTACTTATGTGCATGAATATTTTATTATATTTTAGCTTGTGAAATTCTGTCTGCATTGCGTATGGAATCTTACACATTGCTTTAGCACGAGTAGAACCGGCCACATAAAAATAGATCGACCCGACTTAATGACAGAAAATAATTCAGTAAATCTAAAGGAACAGTGAATTAAGTCATAAACAAGATTTTAATGAGCCTCTTGATGTCTACTATTGTTTATAATTAAAGTGAACTTCAGTACGCTTGTCAATGTTCTATACTTTGCAAACTACGTTGATGTTTCTCAGAGGTTACTTTGAAGGTTATTTGTCAGAGGTACAGGTGTAGTAGTTTACTTTCCTTCCTTGCTTAGACAGAGTATAATCGGCTTTGCAGATCTATTGAAGATCAGGTTCATCTTACCACCTGTCTCTTTATTCAGCGGATCAAGAAATCTTAATAAGTTGAAAATTTATATAAAAATTTACCACAAATTTTACATTTATATGAAAGAAAAATATACGCATAATAATAAACATACACAAAGCATATGAAATAAGAGAAAGCTTTTAATAGCAGTATGCACCTCGCAGGAGTTGTAAAACGCGATATTTAACAGTTTGTAGTTACAAACTAAGAATGATTGAGAAAATTAAATATTAAATACACTTAATACAATAAATTAAGTTTTATTTTTCTGAAGAATGAGGAAGAAATATTAACAATAACTATTCCTATAATGCATATATGTATAAAATATAACTAATATGATTGATGAGATTTCAACTGTTGAAGAGAATGTATTTTACAGAAGGAAGCAAGCAATCACCGAGGAAATACTGAATAAAGAAAGCTGCAGGTAGTAGGAAACAGTTGGAAACAATTAAAACACTAATTGAGAAATAATTAGTAATACATATATTCGTTTAATAAATTTAAGTATACCTTTTTTGACTACATATGAATATATTTGCAATGCCCGGTGTGTACATTATATACATATAGACATACTAATTTATGTTTAGATCGCTTGTATAAAGAATAAAATTTCAAATTAATGTTTGTGTAGAAATCATCTCTTGCTTAAATAATCTGTTGAAAAAAAATTCAAGCTACTTCTCGTTTATTTTCCCATTTACGCCCAAAAGCATGTATTATTCCAACTGAGCGCAACAGAAACTAGAACTGTTAGATATACCTTAAACTCTTAGCGATGTCTTCAAAATGTTTCCTACTGAGCTTTAGCATTGACATAGGTAGTTATCCATGTTACTTTTTGAGATGAAAAGGGAGCTAATTGCCCACTATAAAGGTTTTCCAAGGATTTATTTTTTTAAATAAAATTACATTTAAAAAATATATGATACATGGCAAAATACAACATCAGAAAATAAAAAGTCTTTAGAAACGTGAGAGACTAGAAAGTATTTCGCTTTATTCAGCTGTGTTAAATTCTTTTAAAAATTAAAAAATAAAAGTTTTCTTAGCTGGACCAATCTTTCCTTTGTTTGAGAACTAAAGTAGTTTATTTCTTAGATGATTTCCTGTTTTATGTTTTATTTTGCAAACAGTAGGTTCTACATAGCCACACGCAATTCAATAGCTGTAAGAGAACACATATAGCTGGCGTCTAAACAAAAAAGAAAGCTCAAGGAATTAGTATACATGAATAACACAACAAATTAGGATATAAAAATATTCAATGTTTCAAAATGTCAAGCACTTGTTGCAAGCTTTCGTTTTCTACGAAAATATCATTGCTACTTCCTTACCTGGGCATATTAGGGTATCATTACTTTACCACTACTCACCTTAAGTTTGGGAACATAAACAAAAGAAAACATTTATTTCTTGCTTCACTACCTTATGTATCAGTTACCACCGTTGTAATGTAGCCCAGATGAAAATAATTATAGAAACTTACCTTTCTTATTGGCCGCATTAAGATACTGTGTTAGCAACATTTAAAAAAAGTAACATTTACTTACCCTTTTTACTAAACTTTGAATCGCTTTCTTTGCTTACAACATATCTGTTTTCATGTACCATATAAGTGACGAGAATATATAACACAAAGAAGTAGCTAAGGAGTTATTCCTTGTTTCATATGCAGCTTCTTAACAAAAAGCAAACGGATAAATTTAAATGAATCGCCTATTTAAGCTCAAAGCTTTACATACAACATTCGGCTTCACTCGGTGAATACCAAGCGTCATATATATTGAATAATACTTTTATGTTCTAGCTACAACTTCCAGTAACAAAATTTTGATAAATACAGTATTTTGTATATTGTAAATGAAGATTAGTAGATAGAATGCATGATAAATTAATGACATATTAGAAAACACTATGATATTTATGCATATCTGGAGTAAGACTAAGACACAGTACAATAGAAATGGAAAAATTGTGTTCATAAGAGCAAATAGACTAAAAAGTTTATGTTTGAAACAATATATAGTAGTACAACTTCCATTAACATATACTAGTGTTCTGTGATATGTTAAATTAATGCAAATATTTTGAAACCTCAAAAATAAGATGCACATTTCCATACAAAGAGTCTTATTACATTATTTTTTAAACATTAAATACCACGCATCAGTGGGTTTTTTTTGTTTCAATTTTTCTTTGTAAAATAAAATACAAAACACTAAAATTTAAATGCAGACATAAAATTATTGTTATATTTCATAAAAGATCCCGACTTTTAAGTCACTGAGAACAATACTTGACCAAAAGCGTCATTATCAAAACTTCTAAAATGAAATCAAAAAAGAAAATTAATTAGCACACACGAGGCAGAATTCAGCGGAGACAATGGATTGTTATTGATGTCATTTGTCGATCATATCCCATTATGGGCGTAGTTGCAAGACATTAAATTTGAACCGTGACATTTAATTCTGACGTTAAAACTTAGAAGTTATTGTCATCGAGTTTATGCGTAAAGTGATTTACAGTTTGTACTTCCGATAAATGTTGCAATGAATTTGAAATTCGTAAAAATAATTGAAACACGGTTAATTACCGTTTGTATAAGTTGTTCAGTGATAAAATTACTCTCAAAATTAATGATCGCATTTCTGCTCTCATATGATTAAAATATAAAGTTTTAAAACACTAAATTTTATACATCATACAGCAATTTATTTTTTAAATCGAAAAGGTTTTAGTTTGTGATACATTGACTATTTTTTATTGCTGTTCTTTAAATGAATTAGTAAAAAAATCCATGCTATTTGATATTATGGTCTTAAATGAAATGTAAGAGAAAAGTGTTAATTAGCTATCAGGGGAAAGTTTGATTTAAATTTTAACTTACCGAGAGGTAGAATGAAGAAAAATGGAAACCAGCAGAGTATGAAAACGCCCACAACGATGCCAAGGGTCTTAGCAGCTTTCTTTTGTCTCTTAAATTTCGCCAGACGTCCTTGCAAATTAGCCATCGTCATCTTGATACTAGTCTTGTCTCCATATGTACCGTTGCGGGCAGCAGCAGAAAGGACATGATGAGCGCCAGCATGTACTCTTAAGGTCAACTCTTTGGTTGTCTCATGGCCAGCCGATTTGACTACTTTGACGCCAGTCTCGAGAAATTTGGTTTGCTTCACTGCGGCTTTGTAGATACGAAAGTAGACGAGGAAGATTATGGCGCTGGGGAGATAGAAAGAGAAGGTGACCGAAAAGAGCACGTAACCGAGCTGCTTGGTCACCTCACATACATACGGATTTGGCGGAGGAGGCTCTTTCCATCCAAACAACGGACCCACAGAAATGGCGGTAGAAACGATCCAGACTGCAAAGCAGGCCACAACAGCTCGGGTATGGGTCACAATGTTGGAATATGCCAAAGGTCGGGTGACTCCTACGTAGCGGTCTACGCTAATCACGCAGAGACTGATGATAGAAGCTGTGCAGCATAGGACATCAACAGCTGCCCAGATATTGCAAAAGGTGGTACCAAAGATCCATTGCTTGTTATTCAATTCCAGAAAAGCTGAGAAAGGAAGGACGCTCAATCCCAGGAGAAGATCAGCTACTGCAAGATTTACAATAAAGATATTTGTCGTGCTACGAAGATTAGAAGTAAATCCTACAGCTAGTAGGACCAGGAGGTTTCCGAATATGGTGAGCAGTATGATGGTTGCCAGTACTGTGCCCTTTAATATCATCTCAACGTACTGGTATACTGTCATGTCTTCCATTAAAGAGCTGTTCGTCCAATCTGAGATATTCCAAGGAGCTTCCTCCGTCTCCGTAAGGTTAATTATAATTATTGCTATGTCAGATATCTTATTTCCTAATGGCAATGAGATCTCTTCAAGCTCTGCGCTTGGTGCCATTTCGACGCTTTTACTTTACGGCGGGGAAACTAAGTGAATTATGTTTGGGATAAAATAATGCATCACTGATATTAAAATAAAAGTTAATAGATCCTAAGTTTCAGGCATGAGGATTTTCTGTATCACTTTGGAATAATTTTTCTCTTCTGGACTACGTTTTTGATCTTGAATTGATATTTGGTACATTCCTGTTTCATGATTCTGGATACCTAAAATTAAAAAAAAAGAATAAGTATAATAAATGTTCAAAATGTTCACGTTTTTCTAAAGAATATTACAAACTTAAAGAAATAAACTTTTTTTTTATTTTGCTTTCAATATCGAGCTTAAGAAAAATGATAAAACCGTATTCATGATCCTATTATTTGCATTTTGTCATATACATATATTTTTATCATTCACGTTGTTAGTAAAATTGAGTATATTCTTTTTCATTTCTTAAGGAAAAGGATTTGACAATTTAACCTTAAATCTTTTCTTGAGGAGTGAATTTTGTTTAAATAAAAAAACTTTTTTTTTCTATTCCAATACGAAAACGAAATTCGAAATTAAAATTTATAAAGATAAAAAAAAATACTTCATCAGCGTTCAAAACATAATAATTTTCTTATTGATGACCCGTGTTAGATGTTTCATCTTAAAGGCAAACAAACGTTAAATAATACCTCTTCTTGAATATTATTTCTGAGGAAAAATACTTCACTTAGCGAATCCCCCAATGGACGGACACTTGCTAGTTAAGTATTCATCAGGAATTGTGGCCGATCCCATCGGTCATTTATTGTTTAATTACCGAGAACGTTGTCTACAAGCACCACAGGGAGCGATTCATATTATACCCCCAAAAAGGAGCGGGAAAGGCAACACGTATAATGTCAAGCTTTCCATGGGAGTCAAACCAAAATTTTGGGTTAGCAGTCAGCCTCCGATAACTCTATTTTTATATTAACCAAACAATATAAAAATGACATTATATTTTAAAATTTTAGTAGTTGGACTTACTGTTTGTGATGTACGTTTTCATTTTCTAAAGAAATGAATCTGAAGTTAAATTTTGGAACACAAAAGTAACACGCTATTTGAGAAAATCATCGTAACGACAAGCGTGCAAGGGGCAAGAAATCCCACAATTGCTGCTATCTGAAAACAAAATAAAAAACATGGTCTGAGAAAAATATATTTAATAATGAGAATATAATTATAAATATATTTAATAATGCTGACTTTAAATTAGTCTCATTAAGAAGGCCAAAGGCAACTGAAAGGCTCTGAGAAAATAAGGTTATTCGAATACAACAAAGCTACGAGGACTATCCTCTCCAATAGGATGGATGCTTCGTAGAGAACTAAGTGAGGGAAACTGGTTCGCATTCACGTAACACGTGGGAAAGACAACGAAACCCAACCATGCCGGCAGCCCATTCGGCTGGGTTTGAACCCAAGCTAGATCGAACTACCAGTATTCAGTGATCTTAATCACTCTGCCACTTGTGTCTAGGAAAAGCTGCTTAAGAAATAAATGTTAAATGAAATTCCATTGAAAAACAGATTTTGAAAGTAAATGCCGAAGGTTTAAATTTATTATTTCTTTGAGAAATGTAATGTAAATGAACAGCTTAAATTTGATTGCAGATACAGCATACACATCCTGAATAAACAAATTTCGCAAAATTACAAATTTTCAAGCAACCTAGTTGCGACGATATAAGTAGATAATAACACAACAGATAATAACAAGTTTTCTCGTACATTCCAACAGGGATTTTGGGTTAAAAATTTTATAACAAAAGAAAACAAGTACTTTAGCTGCTTTTTCTGGTTTAAGCAGAGATTTAATTTATTACATCACAAAATTCTGAATACAAAAAATATATTTGATTGTTTCAGTTTATGCTAAAAATTACAAATTATTATTTAAAAGATGTAAGTAATCATTGATTGCAAAATATTATTTGAAATCAGTAATCATGGGCTATATATAGAAATAAAGTAATTAATAATTAAAAGGTAAGTAATTAATATAGCTGCATGTAGTGAAACTCAAAAACGCAAGCTTTGTTAAAAGGCACGAGTTTCGAAATACAGAATTTGATCACTTTCAGCAGCAAAATATACATGAGGAAGGGCAGAAAATCTAAAGCAGAGTAAAATCAAGTAAGTGATATTTAATTCCATTGAAAGGCATGCTCGCACATAAGAAAATAAAAAATAGGTTTAAAGTTTGAAAATTAGAAAATAGAGAGGTACTTAAGAGATAAATTCACGGGTATCAATAAGTGTGCGAAGCTTCAAGAAGATAGAGTTTGTTATTTTAAATATTTTGACGATAAAAAATTATTAAAATACTTAAGAGAAAGACAACCAAGTTACTGCGAATGCTTTTTACAGCAGAAATCAGTCTAAGATGGGTATAATAACTCTTGAGGATTTGCCAGTAACAAATATAATGAATACTCTATTAATAACGAATGATTGTAAGTAATTGTATTCTTCAAGAATACAATTACTTACAATTGATTGTGAAGTGCAAACCAATGAGCGCACAAGAGTCATCTGCAGAAAGAAGACGTTTTAACAAAGATGTAAGATCTAGCGTGCAAAAATATATAAATAAATGAAGGATATAATGCAGGTTTTAAATGAAAAGGAATAGAAAAGATGCCAGTTATGAACACTTTGGAAAAAAATTATAAGCTTTCTTTTAACAAAGTGACAAGATCTAGTTTGAAGACACATAAAAACAAACGAAAGGCACAGTGTAGTTCCTAAATGAAAAATAACGGAGAAAAGATACCAATTTCGTATATTTTGAAAGTGTTGATTTTTTTTTATTTTAAACTGAGCAGAAATAATACAGGGTTCCCAACGCGTAACATCGGTGGTACGAGAGTTGCTGTTTGGTGGTACACGAAAAATGATCAATAAAGGCGGGCCCACCAGCGGCCGAGCGGTAAAGACGCTGAACACGATAGTTCGGTCTGAGGTTCGAATCCCGCGAACGGGCTGGCTGCATGGGCGCTTTCGTGGTTTTCTCCATGTGTAACGTGTATACGAGCCAGTTTCGCCTAGAAAGTCCTCCACGAAAGGCATCCCTCCCTTTAGACAGATAGCCCTCGTGTGCTTTGCCCTAACTGAATAATCCAATCCAATAAAGGCGGACAGATTTTAAATTCCGTCCAAAGAGGCGTTTTTTTAACGTTTTGTGTTTATTAAATATTTTTATTTATTAAATATCATGTTCTTTGCACTTAAACCATAAAATTCAGTTCAACAGCAATGTCGCAAAATAATTTTAAAATTAGCATATCTTTAGAATTTCCGATACGCAGATCCGCGCGCTGGAGATAAAAAGTTTTTTTCCCAGTAGAGTGTTCCCATTGCTCGCTTTTAAATCGTTGAGTTTGCTAATCAAAAATTCGTTAAAGGTTTACAAAATATGAAATCGATAATAAAACAAATTCCATATTTCAAATTTGGGCTTTCAGATGCTCACATTCGCAGTAGGATTTCGTCATTCAAAACTGGATGACTCTAGATACCGTTGTTTTATCACAATGCGAGAAACATACATACATTTATGCCGATTCTTCATTATTTAATTTCTTCAAATATAATACAGAGCGATAGCATTTGGTGGCAATGATTTGAAAAGTTATGCAGCCTTTTAAAGTTTTCAACGCAAAATCGCAAAACGAAAACAATAGTCCTTCAACGGCAAAGCCCCTTTGAACTGAAAATATCATAGAAACGTTTTTTCCTATAATTCATGAAATTCTTTTAATTAATAATATTATACAACAAAGTTTTTAATATGAACAGTAGGTGATCGAAAATCCGGCTATCGATATCGTTTTTTGTTTTTGTTTTTGGAGTGCACATTTAAATGTAGCCGTTAGCCATCAGTAACTTGAGACGTCGCGGCCACTGTTATGGTGGCGCTTCACTCTCGTTAACTTCACCGCGCGGCTTACAAGCGACAGGTTATTGTTTGTAATTGTATAGTTTTTGCTTATTAAAACTTATTGATTAACCTTTTGAGTAAGCTATGGATAAGTGGTTAAGAACCTGTACGTGCCAAAATCTCTAGCAAAACGCGAACAGTGATGTATTACAGAGTTCTACAAATGACAGGTCCAAAAATTCGGTGCAAAACGTTGAAATTGCACAGTGTTCAGTTCCTCAAAGAAGCGTTAAGAGAAAATAGTGTGATGAATATATAAAATATGGTTTTTCATACATTGGAGACGAAGACTTCAAAGCCCAAGTGTGTACTGTGTGAGGTAGTGTTTTTAATGGGTGCATGAGACCTTTGTTTCTTTTGCGAAATCTACATACAAAACATACGGATTACAAAAACAATGATTGTGATTTTTTTAAACGTTTAAAAGAGCAAAAGAACATGTCTATTTTATCATCGTACATTCTACCTGCTAATAAGGATAATTGAACGTGCAGTAGATGTTAGTTATCGTATTAGTTACCATACCGCCAAATGTGGTTATAGTCATGAAATAGGAGAACAATTAATTTTACTTTGTATAAAGATTGATATTGGCCTTATTATTGACGAAAAATATGCCCAAAAATAAATTGTATTCCTCTTTCAAACAATGCAGCATCGAGAAGAATTCACGATATGTTCCGAGGATATCGAGGAAACAGTGATGGAGAGAATAAAAAAAAAAGTAAATTTTTCTCAATTCAAGTAGATGAGACCACAGACGTAACAAACAATGTTGTATTGCTTGTTATTGCTAGGTAAATTAAAGACAATGTATTTGATGAGAATCTTTTACTTTTTCACTTTCTCTCCACACGCACAACGGGTGAAGAAATATTTAAAGCTATTGATGATTATTTTATATTGAAAAGTATTAGTTCGTCAAAATGTTGCGGATTGTGTACTGATGATGCCAAGTCATTGTAAGGTTTATATAATGGTCTTCGCGGAGGCGTCTTAATTGTAGATCGTAATGTAATTTGGAGCCACTGCTGTATCCATAGGAAAAAATCTAGTAACAAAGTGCCTTCCAGAAGAATTGAACTCGTTCTCAACAATGCGGTAAAGATTGTTCATTTTATAAGGAAAAGCTGCACAAACTCAAGAATGTTTAAGTCATGTGCGAAGAACTGATGAGTCCTCAAAGTTCTCTACTCTTTCTTACAGAAGTGAGATGGCTATCTTGCGGTAAGCTGCTAACCCGCTTATTCGAATTTAGACAAGAAGTACAGTTTTTTTAAGACCATCCTTTTGATCTTTCTTTGAAATTGTATGATTTGAATTGGCTTCAAGATCTTGCATATTTATCTGATGTTTTTTTGAAAATAAGTAACTTAAATTTGACACTTCAGAACAGCTCGATAACGATTTTTAATATTAATCATAAAATTGAAAGTGGGATTAAGAAATTATATTTTTGGAAACAGTGTTCGATAGCAATCAATCAAAAGTATTCGAAACTCAATATATCTTTTTGTTTGAAAATAAGGTTAGTCTGTCTGAAGATGTGCAAGAAAATATAATAGCATATTTAATAGGATTAAAATTGTCTTTCATGGAGTATTTTCAAAAACCCGAAAACACAAATGATAATTGGATTTCAAACCCCTTCCATGAAGAAAATTTAGAAAAAGCTACATCATTATCAATAAAAGATAAAGAAAATTTTACAGAATTATCATGTGACAGAACTTTATAAGTAGAATTCAAACGAGACAATCTAATTAATTTTTGATTAAACATTGATAAAGAATATGAACAACGTTCTGAGAAAGCTCTTAAATTATCATTACCCTTTACTAGTACGGAATTAGTAGAAAGAGCTTTTTCTAAACAGATTGAACGCAACTGTAGACTTAAGGGTGTACCTCGCATCTTTTGAACCAAATTTAAAAACATTATGTTCTTGGAAACAAGCATAAGGATCTCATTAAATTTATTTTATAAAAAGATTAGATTACGATAAGAAAATATATTTACTGTTTTTTATAATTTTGCGTTTTTATGAAAACCATTTATTAGTAAATGAAATATGACAAAGTAGTAGATAAATATGAAACTCTTAACAAACACATACATATATATAAATACATTTGTTACAGTGAGTTTATAATCCGGCATGACGTTTAAGCGTGT